TAACATACTTGTGACAAACGGAGACCATTGAATCTCAGCGGTAGGAACCGAGGTGGGCTGGGCCTTGCACCCAGCCGGGGCACCACCGGTCCTGGCCGGAGCCCCCTTCTTGCGCCCGTCTTCTGCTGGCGCGTGGCGGTGACCCAGAAACATTTCGAGGACGGTATTAGATACCGGTCCCGGATTTCGTCCACAGACGGTGAACAAGAAGTCGGGGAGAGCCGTTAATGCTTGATTACTAGTTCCCCCTGGGAGAAAGCTGAAGATGGTTGAGGACCACGTGAGTGGCTTGCCTCAAGTCTCCCAGGGGGAACTAGAAAAGCAATCGCATAGACGTAAGTATAGCCCGAGGTTCAACCTCAACCATATCGTAATTGATCGCTAGCTGGAGAGGCCTAGGGCCCCTTCCTGTTACAGGAGGGGCCCCGCAGCGGCGATGCTGTAGTAGTCGTCGCCGCCGCCCCGGTCCTTCGAGAGGCTAGTGCGCCGAGGCCCGTAATACGGAGGAGTCATTGCGCCATCTGGCAACAATGCAAGTCCCAGTTTAGGGCGGTCGCCAAGTAACTCGTTACCCCTGAGGGGTCGATGATACTTGACGACCGCCCCAGACCCGCCCCAGTGAATGGTGCTAGGGCGGACTTGGGAGTGACTCGAGGGATCCGCCCTCGGATCATCAGCTCTGCGAGCTTCTCCAGCTCCTCTCTTCTGGGGTAAAGTGTTGTTTGAAGAGACGTCGAAGATAGATTCGAGTGTCTTGGGAACGCACTTGGTGGGAGGCAGTTTACCCACTTGCCTAGGTGCGAGTGGTAGAGGGGAAAGTGGTCGTTCCAGCTAACCCCCTCCCTTTTCTGGAGCCGCTGTACGGCTCTACGTTGAAAAGGGAGGGGGCTAGAATCTAACCCTGGAACTGAGAGCGATGAAAACCCAGTCTCGTCTTTGTCGGGAATAGATGCTGCCTTGTAGAATGCGCGATGTGACAATTTTTCACTCTCGTAGGGTGCAATGCCACGACTGAAAAAATACGAGAGTGAAAAATTGTCACATCGCGCATTCTACAAGACCTATTGGCCAATAGCCCGCTGGGTCTTGTTTCGTAGAGAATGCGGGGATGCGACATTCCAGTTCAGCTCGAGTGAGAGTTGTAGATGGTCGGTATATGGCCAAGCGCGAAGCTTCAAGCTTCTATGCTGGAGTACCGGGTAAGGCAACTGAGGCCAGCAGCCGTTACGGCCGCCGAAGATAACGATCTGGCTTTTAGCCGAGCTGGGGCGGGCACGACGTGATGGACTTGGAGAAGTGTGCCCCTTCCCCAACTTCGGGGTGGGTGTTCAGTTGGACACCGCAGGATGCAAGTGCGGCAAGAAGGGAGGTCCCGCTAAATGCTAAATTGTCTTGGTCAGCGAAATTGCATCTTACGTTGATGATGTGAATTGTTTAAGTAATTTTCGCAACTTACAAGCACCGGTGAGGCGCTTCAAGCAGCCATCACTACTGGCCTCATCCTCGATCCACCAGGTGGGTTGGCCTGACTCTTGTGACTCTTGGAGACGCTGCTGGATCTTTTGGTCCAGCTCTGCAACAGAGTCATGCTTTCCTTTCGGAAGCGTGGCAATGGCCGGGAGCGCAACCTCCTCCAGATATCGCAGTGGAGGCGTCTTGAGTGAGAGTTAGTATATAGTACCGCTAAAGTAGAGATATTGGTGAGGTAGAGGTGTTGTTAAGGTATGGATATTGATGAAAAAGAGGTGTAAGGGTAAGGGTACTGATATATAGAAGTGTCGGTGAGGTAGATATGGTAATGGGGTGGAGGTATTAATAAAGTAGACATAGGATGGAGGTATTGATAAAGTAGACATGTTGATAGGTAGAGGTGTTGTTGATATGCAGAGGTGTTGTTGATAGGTAGAGGTGTTGTTGATAGGTAGAGGTGTTGTTGATAGGTAGAGGTGTTGTTGTTTGAGATAGGGTTGTTGATGAAAGAGAGGTATGATGTAAAAGTGTTGATGATATGGGATGTTGGTAAGGTAGGAATGTTGATGAAAAAGCGGTAGAGGTGTTGATGGGTAGAGGTGTTGATGGGTAGAGGTGTTGATGGGTAGAGGTGTTGATGGGTAGAGGTGTTGATGGGATGAGCATAGGCCGACCGAATAATGGGCATAGTAGACTTTGCGCGTGGCGAGCGGGAGGGGAGAAAAGGTGCAGGAAAATGAGGTCTTCTTGAAGAGAAGACCCAAGTAACAAGTAATAGTAAAGGTTAAGAATAAAGAGAAAAGACGAAAGAAAAGGAAAACTTACTGCTCCTGGTGGCTTCTGATACTGCTTGTAATAAGTAGGCGAAAAGCCAGACCAACGATAACGGCTAAGCGGCCCTTGTTAGAGGGCTGCGAAGTCAGATGCACCTAGATAAGTGTCTTGATGATGATTAAGAACACTTAGATGGCATAAGATGATGGAAGAGAAGATGTGATGATGGAAGAGAAGATGTGGTGATGGAAGAGAAGATGTGGTGATGGAAGAGAAGATGTGGTGTTGGATGTGGATGGAAGTTGGGTGGGAGAATAATGAGAAGAGTTGAGGATGCAAGTGGGTTTGCAGAGAAAACCTTTTGTTTACCTATGTAGGGTTTGGAAGGGCAAGTGTGTGTCTTAAGCATTTTTTTTTTTGTGGGAGGCCATTGCATCGTCCCCGACGATGTGGCTTCTGCCATCAGTTAGGGTAGTATGCGAGTAGGTGGTGTCTCTTAGAAGCGCTGGTTTGATGCGTAAGTATAGCCGCAGTGACAAAACCATGTGCGCCGCATTACGAGGGGCGCGAACGGCTGGAAATGCGGATCTTCATCCTTCCAAAGCAACGCACAGAAGGCTGTGGAAGGTAAGACCATTAGTGGCCAAGCTAGGAGCTTAGCAGAGCTCGACTATGCACCTGTATCTACCTAGGAGCCCTGTGTGGGAGGGCACCTCTGGTGCTGAGGACGAAGCCCGTTAACACAGGAAGAGCGTTATAACATAGATATTTTAGAATCTAAAGAGAGTCCATCATACGTTCGTCTTCCTTGTGTTATTCCTAAGTTGCCCCATGTATACTGGGTGCAGAGTTGCTTGATGGTAGGGGATGTGTGAGCAGCCCCTTTTACCCCTATTCTATAGAATTTTTAAGTATCTGGTAGATGAGGCTGGAAAATTATGGTATTGCTCGTTTACATCAAAGAGGGCCATTGAAAATTTTTCGTCTATATCATATCTACCTAGGTATTGAAAGCCGCTTTGAATTAGACCAATATGACATCTTGCTCTTGCGCAGTGGTGGTGGCAATGTTATGACACAGTATTGGAAGGGAAGCTACGAATCTAAATTGCCTATCAACGCAACAGAAATCAATGCTTTTGGTCAGTGCCTATCAATTAATTTCTCTATGTTTAGTTGTTTTTCGAGCTTCTAGGAGACGAGCGCACTGAATATGACCAATGCCCATTTTATATACCTCCTGATGTTGGTCGCCATATGTTGAGAAGCCGGGTAGAACATCCACCGTCTGGTAGTATTTCGGTGGAAATGCATCCCAAAACCAGTCTCTCCATGGACCTAATGGGTTAGAAGGATTATATCCCGAATATCTCCAATAGCTTAGCTCCCCATCATTGACGAGAAGTCTGGGGCACCCTGTATAGCGACATTTGATAAATTGGGGCGCCTCCGCACTCTGCGCCGCTGTGGCAGGGTGAATTCTCCTTGGAGAACTACCGTGTTGGGATTTGAAAATGATGAATATTCCAATTCTCGTGAGAGCTTCCCTAGTTCTCTTTACCAGCATATGTATTACTACCGCCCAGGGATGCGTGGTGGACGATGACTGCAGTCTCAACGGTATATGCCAGCGCTCCTCTGGGAAGTGCCAATGCGACGCCGGGTGGAAATCCGACGACTGCGGCGTGCTTGACCTGCTGCCAGCTACTCGATGGTCGGGATACAACTACACGAACTTCACTTTACCCGACTTTTACGGCACCAAGGGCAATTCGTCATGGGGTGGAAACATAATCCAGGATCGTGAGGACCAGGGGCTTTTCCACCTGATTGTCGATCAGTTCCCCCGAGGATGTGGGCTATCAGGCTGGCGGCCATTCAGCACCGTGGTCCGCGCGGAGTCGAGGACTGGCCCGGCTGGCCCTTACCACTACGCGCAAGAGCTTCTCGGCACCTTTCGCCATAATGCTAGAGTCATATGGAGCCCCGCCGACGAGAAATACCTCTTGTATACCATTGGGATAGAGACCGAGACGCCAGATACGTGCAAGTCATACAAATGGGCAAACAACATCTCGGTATCTAGCGCCCCTGACATCCGAGGGCCATGGTCCCCATCAGAGCGTCTTCTCGACGGAACCAACCCCACGCCGTGGCCGCTGTGGTCCGAAGATAACCCTACCACTGAAATCGTTCTTGGTGTGGAAGACAACTACCTCTACCAAGCCAATAACTTCAGCGGCTCCTACGAGCTAATCAAGTCGATGCCGTGGAACACGTCGGACTACAGTGACCACTGGTCCGAGGATCCGTTTCTGTGGCGCGACAAACGGGGGAACTGGCATATCTTGTGCCACTGGATGATCGACATCGCGGAAAGGAACGAGAAGTATCCATGGGTAGGAGGGCATCTATTCTCGCGTAGCTTAACGGGCAACTGGACTTTCAAGCTGCAGGCCGCGTACAACACCACCGTACTCTTTACAGACGGCGGCCGAACCGATTTCTACCGACGCGAGAGACCCAGGCTCTATTTCAGCGACGACGGCAACCAGACGCCCCTCTACCTCGTCAACGGCGTTCAGGAGTTCAACAGCTCGGCGAGCTATACCCTGATACAGCCCATCGGAAACGGAGCACAGCTGTACGAGCGGAAACTTGGATGTTGATCTGCCTGTTGCGGCTAACGTATCAGTGGCTTGTTTTATATGAGATATCATCTTGAAAACTCCCACATTAGCAGAACTAGTCGAAAGGTCCGTATAGCTCAATCGGTAGAGCGTGAGATTTGGTAGCTCGAGGTTGCAGGTTCAAATCCTGTTATGGATTAGACTGTTTCTTTTTGCGCCTCCCTCGTCACAGCATGGTTTGAGATAAAACCGTATTTAAATTCAGAGGTGAGAGGAAAGGAGAGGGGAGTAGAGGTTTCCTCCATGTCATTCATATAGGTATCTTTGTTATCTTGAGATTACTATGGTCGCGAACACTATAGATCCAGCCCAATTGCGAGTACGAGACTTGTTCTGTTACACATATCGCATACAAATGCTTCTTGTAATAATGACTCTGGTAGTTTTTAATGACATTCTATGACCGTCGACTTTAAGCAGCCACACGTCTTGTCCTACGAGGAGGCTTGGTTCCCAAATCTAGCGCTTCTTCGGCTGCTTTTCCTTTGGCAACCTGCTCTTCATTGGCCTTGATGGCATCTTCTGCATCTCTGGCGGCCTCGCCGTCATATGGTACACCATTTTCTACGGGGGCCCGCAGCCAGCCGTTCTTGGCGACCTCAATGATCTTTTCCATGAAAATATCTCCCATCTTGAAGTATCCTATTTTCTAAATTAGCTCCCGATCCAGACATCTTCTCCGACAATTGTAGCACATACCCTGATCAGTCGGGTGCATGCCATCTTTTCCAATATCTTCTTGTAGGACACGATTAGGTAAGCCTTGATCATAATGCATCTCTGCCATCGTGACCGGCTTGCCCTCGCGGATGAGGTCGATGGCTACCTGGCGAATCTGCGCGTTGGAGCTCTTGACGCATTTTTCTGTCCCGTCCCACGGGCTAGTGATGATGGTCGACATAATGACGGTGGCTCGCGGGGACGCCTCGAATAGGAAATCGACGAGTTCGCGCATGCTCTGCAAGACGTAGGCGGGCCCCCAGTTGTCCATCTGGAAGCAGTCGCTCGATCCCGCGTTGATGATGAATAGATTCGGCTGCACTTGCGGCACAACCTCTTTAAGGCGGTCGAGGGTCGGTTTTATGGGCTGGGCACCGAATGCCTGGACGTCGTTGTCCTTGAAGTCGCCATATCGGTTCTATCGGGAAGTAAGATGTCAGTACGATGAGAAAAGCCCCAGATTTATAGAGATGAGATTGTACCTGTCCGACATAGTTGACCGGATTGCCCCTAGAGACTAGCCAGTCTCGGATCTGCTTTCGGTAGCCCACTTCACCGGTCGAGTGCTCGCCCAAGGTCATCGACGCGCCTATGAACATTACGCGGAGGGGAATGCCACCCGCCAGTGGGCCATTTCCGGAATGTGTGAGGCGATTCCATCCATCGCGAGCGACGTCGGGGTTAGGTTGAATAAAGATAACTACGATGGGTTCGGGCGTTAGCCTTAGCGGCAGGCGGCGCGTGTCTTAGGGGGAAGACGGGGCTTACCTATTAAGAACAGCAATAGTCCGGATACGGCTATAGCCTTGTGGAGGTTAGGTAACTGTTTCCATCGCAGGTGTAGTGTCGACAGCATCATCTTGGTGATCTTGACGAGCGACCCATTTGCCGTTGTAAAAAGTTCCTTGGTTTGTGACGCTGACGGAGAGCGCCACGAGCCACGAGACACGAGACAGGACATTACGACTTATTTTCCTTTCGGGCTCAGGGGTCCCAGCCCAGCGTTTGAAAGGGCTGATCCTTTACAGTTACGAGGTACAAGTAGCCCCTAACACACGCTAAGCCCGTATTTCGTATTTTTAGTTGGTCTTACAGGCCTTATCGTCAAGTATCCCTCCCAATTCTTACTACCTATATGTACCTCCTAGGTTACTCAGGAATAGGAAGGGATTTGGATTTTGTCTGGCTCGGATTTAAGATTTGGGTTATTCTTGGCGACCTCGCGACCGGGAGACCGGCACCTCCACGTGTACCCGCGCACCCGCGTACCGCTGATCTTAAAATAAATTTCAATTGCTAGGTACCTTTGCCGCCTTTGCTCACCTCTACAATTGACCGTCGCATCACGACACTTACTAGTAGACATGCCGAGGGAAACCTACACGATAACTGGTCTATACATGAAGCGGTTCCCGAGAGACTGAGTCTTTTGCGTACAACCAGAATACTGAAGAGAACAATGACCTGCTGTACGCAAGCAGAATTTCCAGAATATCTTGCCCTGTGTGACGGTCTTTAATTCCTTTAGAACGTTACTTTCTATCTCTTTCCTACATTCCTCTTATTCCTATACGTAAGGAACCAATTATATAAATAGGGAATTGATACGACGTCGTCGATGTGCTCTATTCCTTGACGAACACACCTACTCGCGGCGATGTTTCTCCACGATTCTGAATAATCACGTCAAAGGGTCAGCTCGCCGAGGGGGCCTCAAACTTTCCAGAAATTCCCGAATCTGAGTTTTAGCCCCGTATCTACGGTCGCGCAAATTCAAGACATGCATAGCCTGTACGGACCTAGAATGCCAATGTGAGTCTAGAAGGCCATATTTACATGTAGAAACTGTTAATATATCTCTTCAGCACGGTCGAAGGTACGGAGTAGTGCATTGGGTAAGCCTCCCGAGGTCCGCCCCGGATAACGGGTAACCTACGTATATGCGGCTCTGCCTAGGTTAGGTACCTAGGAGATACACTGGCCCTGAGCTTCACAATTCGCCAGTTGATTGCAAAACAATATCATTTAAGCCAGACGATTTTATGTACCAAGATTGAAATTTCTTCCCTTCATATCCTGCAACAGTATCGATCAATATATACAATCAGAAGAGTAGTATCCTAACACGCCATGACAATGACCGAGAGTGACCCGGAAGAGGGGCCGTACAACCGTCTCATCTGCGTGTCTTGGGGTGTAATTTTTTTCCCGTTACTCTTATGCGGTGAACGGGAGCTCCACTTTCTCGGCGGCCTTGGCGGCTTTGTCCGCCTGCGCGACCTGGAAGGCGTTGACGAGAGCCGGGTACCAGATGTTGGCCATCTTGGTGTCGCCGGCGGCGTTCGGGTGGACGCCGTCGCGTAGGTCCGAGGTGCTGCGAGATTATCAGCGTTGGTCACAACTAGAGACGAAAAAGAAGGATTGAGAAAAGGGGTCGGAACGCGGCACGCTTTGATACGTACCCGGAGAAACCTAGAACACGTTTGTCAGCATGAGAACCAGTATGACCCAGGCAATGGGCGAGTTTAAGAGATAATGGATGATCGAGGAGGATAAATGGGGCAAGGCAAGTTGGCTGTGGAGCTGAATAGGCCCAATATTCTTACCTGTGTACTGATCGACGACCCAGATCGGAGATTCGGTCGTGTTGAGACCCTGCGCCCAGGGGATGATGGCCGCGTTCAGGCTCTGGATCTGGGTGTTGTAGCTGCCGAAGCCCATGGGGATGATTTGAGCGACCTAGGTTTCGATCCGTAATTAGCACTCGGATATCAATGACAGACAGGTGGGGGACAGCTTACGACGATCTTCATGCTCGGGTTGCTCTTCCTCATAACGCCGACCAGGGTCGTGAAGGCGGCGATGATGTCGGCAACCGGCTTATTCTGCTGCACGATGTCGTTGGTGCCCAGGTGCATGGTGATGACGTCGGCCGGGTTGGTGTTGAGCCAGCCGACGAGTTGCTGCCGGTTGGCGATGTCGATGGCCAGGAAGCCCGAGTGGCCCTCATTGTCACGGTCGTACGTCGCGTCCCCGCAGTTGTTCTCGGTCTTGCCCGAGCCCACCCAGTTCACGCTCCCCCACTCGGTGCCTTTCAGCTTCTCCCAGAGCATCGCGCGCCAGCAGATGATCTCGGTGATGGAGTCGCCGAAGGGCATGTACCGGAGCGTCGCGTTCTGGGCGGCCGTCGCGCCCAGAAGCGTGGCGATGGGAAGAACCTTGTTGAAAAGCATGGTTGAGAGTTTGCAAAGCTGAAGAGCGAAGAGGATGAAGAGGATGAGGAGGAAGGTGATTGTTGAATGGCTTGGAGATCTGGATAGATAATTCTCTCCTGCCTCTGACTGGCGGCGCCAGCTCGGGTCTTATAGATGTCTGTGTGCGGCTGTCTCGTAGCCATGGTAAGCTGAAATGGCGCTTACACATCGTAGTGATCTTTGGTTCCAAGCGCGGCTAAATCATGATCCTTCACATATGCGTATGCATAGAATATGAATATAAATAATGGGGTTGTCCTCCTGCTACGGTACGCCGAATGAGGCCGTGTTCGGCGGAAGATGATCTCCGAGTTTATGGAGACATCCGGAAAAAGCCTTCCTTTCAACCGACTCCACGAGCACATGGCTTCCACGTGGAATAAATACCCATGCAGCTCTCCCAAGGGAAGAAGTGCCATATTGAGGTTTAAGAACCAAAGAACGGAATGATGATCTGGTGTCGGGATTGGCGATGTGCCCATGAGGTATGGGGTACAATATATCCGCCAGAGACCCTGATATAAAATTGACTCCCCTATTCGCGAACCTAAATGCACACCAAGTCTTCCATATTGGACCATGCCAAATATAGTCTCCCACGTGGCCTGTTCAAGGATATTTGCATTCTGAAACTCTTTGCATTGTTCTATATGCAGGGGAAACGATTTTATATAGGCGAGTTCGCTTCAGTTATCTGCTTGGAAATAGACTTATACGACTATAGTAATACTGGGGTAAGAACTTGCATGGGTATATCCATTGGCCATTTATATTGAATGCAACATCACAACGTGTTTCCTGCAGCTATGAGGGTTACTGGGCTAGAAACGTCATTTTCCTAGGTGTCTTAAGTCGAGTGCTAGACGATACTGACTTGTACTTGCCATCTTATGTAGGTAGGTACTTAGTATTTAATGACTTTGTTGGTATTTTTGCAAGATATTTGTAGCATAGATGATTCGAGTACCTATTTGGGTACATTGCAGTAAGATGCTCAGTTATGAGCCCCTATTACTCCAGAAGCAGGTTCTTTTCGCCCACCAAACATTGTAAAGTCATGACTTTCTTGGCTATATAGATTTTGCAACCCAGTACGCCTCACTACACCTTCCAAGAACTTCCTCAGAACTACCCTTATAGGACATGCATGACTATGTTGGAGAAT